TTATTTTATTTCATTTTACTATGTTTCATTTTATATAATGTAATTTTATCTATTTTTTATATTACAGTTTGTTTTTGTTTTTTGTTTTTTTTAGTTATTTGTTTGTTATGGGGGTGGGGGCGTACATTTTATTTCATTTTTTATTTTATTTAATGGGGTTTTAAAAATGTCATTTCACTCTAACAGAACCCTTGTGATGACAACCGCCATTTGGACATCTGGCCAGAAAGCAAGTCATGTTCCAGACTGCCTAAGTTCATCATTGTCGGACCACAAAAGACAGGTCCGTGGTCTAGCCTGCTGGCCTTCAGTAGCCCTCAAGGGCACCTGCGGCCTAGCCCTCCGAAAGGCCCGTGCCTCTCATTACGGTCTTTACCCCCTATCCCTCCAATGGGCTTTTGGTCCTATCCATCAGAAGGGCTTTTGCTCTTAGACCTCAGAAAAAAACGTTTGTCCTATCCCTAAGAAGGTGTTTTGCTCTTAGTCCCAAAAGAAGGACTTTCGTTCCTGTCCCTCAGAATCCCTGCTCATAGGGGCTTTTGCACCCTGAGAATAGCTATCTTCCGGGAGAATTAAACTTTGGCATGCAAGTGTGAATCAACTCTAATTATTCTGCATAGTTGCGCACCATCCTCTACTGAGCTTAAAACAAACATACACTCATGTCGGAATACATAGAGGTGTGCGGGGGGTGGGGGGGGAGGGGATAAGTAAGTGGGCATGCATCATTCAGTTTTACCAAAGAGTCTACATAACAAGAGGGGCCACTCCTCTCTTTGAGCCTATTAAAAAAGTGTCCTCAAAATTCGGTGGCGCCCTCTTCGCAAATGGCCACCCTTTGCGAACAGAGTTACCCTACTTGTGTTTTAAAAAATCAAAGTGAAACTAACAAGTTTTTGAATAAATAAGAATTCAAATGTCGGAAAAACGCCTTTTTTTACTTTTACGCTGAGAAAAAAACTCTTCCGGGGGAAAGGTGACTGTTTTCCTCGTTTAATTTGACTTTAGAATGAAAGGCGAGAGGTCATTAAAATTTAAAAACCTAAAACTCCGCTCTGAACGAACCTGAACAGCTGATGAACAGCAGTCGATCTGTGCACGTAAGGAGGTGCTATTCTTATTCTTCCTCTGGAAAAACGAAAGAGAGCTTCAAAACAGACTGCAGCACCATCTGAAGCAAAGAGCGGACTTCCGGCGGACCCTTTTTTGGCTGAGTGGACCATCTTTTTATGTACTATCTTTGGTTTTACGTATAATAAAAGGGCGTGTTGTATTGTAATCACATAAGAATAAGAGTAACAATGCACCTTTGCCAAATGTATGGAACTCCACAGTGTCACAATATACAATTCTTTTCTAAAGGCACTACCGCCCTGCTCACTTTCCTGGAGTCCCACCCATACCTCGCCAGCAGCAAGAAAGATCCGAACTACTTTGAGGAAATCCAGTTCTTCAATGGCAAAAACTACATGAATGGATTGGATTGGTATGCTTGCTTATATTAATATATCTTTTAAAATTGATTGTGAAGAGACCAGAAATGGTGTGTGAATTGTTTATGTTCGTAATAATATTGTATTATTCATGCTTTTTTGCATCAATGTATATTTACGTATTTGTGTTAGTCATTGTGAAACAAATTTCCCAAGAGGATAAAAACTAATTAATTCATTCATAAACCTCTAATAAAACTAAAAATTCATTCTTAAATTCATTCATTCATTCATTCTTTCATTCATTCATTCATTCATTCATTCATTCATTTAGTTGTTTAGCTATTCTGTTTGTTATTTTGTTCTTTCTTTCTTTCTTTCTTAATTTCTTTCTTTCTTTATTTCTTTATATATCTATCTATTTATTTATTTATTCATTTATGTATTAATGTATTTATTTATATATTTATTTATTTGTGCTTTCATTACAAAGGTATGAGGAGCACTTCCGAGTCCCGACAGATCCAAAGACAGTTCTTTTTGAGAAAAGTGCCAACTACTTCGACAACGAGATCACCCCTAAACGTGTGCACGCTCTGTTGCCTAAGGCCAAGATCATTATTATTGTCACTGAGCCAGGAAAGAGGGCGTACTCTTGGTATCAGGTAAGGGGCAGAGAGAGAAAGAGAGAGAGAGAGAGAGAGGGAGAGAAAAGAAAGAAGAAGAGGAGGGTGAAGAGAAAGAAGGAGAGATAGTAGGAGAAGAGGAAAGAGAAATGAGATGGTTGGAAAGGAGAAAGGAAAGTGAAAAGGAGAGAATGGATTAAAGAAACAAGAGGAGAATAAACAACAATAGAGGGGGAAATAGAGGAGAGAAAGGACAGAGGGCATGGAAAGGGGAAAGAAGTAAAATGGGTATTGATGGGATTTTACAAAGAAGGGTTATACGGAAGGGGAGAAGGAAAAAGGAGAGAAGGAATAAAATAACAAGACGG